GATTAACTTCCCTTAACCTTCACCTTCCTTACGACTCAAATCACAGAATTTTCTTCCCCTGAACCCCACTGAAACTCATCTGAAGTTAATCTGACTGCAGCTGTTTTGGTGACTGAAGTGCCAATTTGTGGGATTAGAAAATCTGTGTGGTCCCTATGTCAGATAATACTTCCCTTCGCTATCTCTTTCAGAAGGACTAGGTCCTGCTCTCCCGTCTCTTGGGAGAGTCATCTCACCAGAAGACTCAGATGGAAATTTGTGGGGCGGGGGGGGGCAGTTCTCTGGACATACACCCACAGGTGCCTAAACTTAGAGTCTATCTCTTTGAATCCCAGGAATATCTCCCCACCCCTACAGCCATTCTGGGTACCCCTCTTCCACACTGTATGTTACCCTCCATTGGGCTTTTAAGAGAGAGTCCAAAAGAGCTGGCATCCTCTCTTAGATGCAGAGCAGTTGTTAAAAGAGGCCAGAGGGCTTCTTGCCACCAGCGACATGAAATGCTCTTAGTAAGTTAGAAGCCAGAATCAAAACCATATGGTTTGCTTTGCAAAGATCACAGGGCCCGAAGAACTAGATGAAGGAGGCCAGCCAGGGGACAAGATTTTTGGGTAAGGGGGAAGCACCTACCCTAATCCTGACAGCCTGTACTCAAAAGTATAGCCCTCCTGCCAAGGGGCCTCCTCTCCCTTGGACTTCCGGCCCACTTGGACTCTCCTCAAGCTCAGACAGGTGGAAGTTCAAACAAGAAAGGCTGGAAGAATGGGACTACTACTCGCTAGAACTTTTTAGGATTCCCTAAAAGCCTCCTGACAGATGCCCCCCAAATGGAAACTGTCCCTATTTGCTCTTGTCTCTAATGAACGGACATATCCCACATCTTAAAAATATTTAAGAAGCAGCCCTTTATCTGCTTGCTTACCAGGTATCTAACTAGATTCAGGCTCTCTAAGAGGGGGTCTAAACTTTTCCAAGCTGCTCCTGAAGGAGAATCCACAAGTATTATAAAGAAATTCAGGGGCACCCAGCTGGCTCAGTCAGTTGGGCACCTGCCTTAGGCTCAGGCTCTAGGGGTCCTAGGATCAAGCCCCGTGTTGTGTTCCCTGCTCTGCCCGGGGCCTGCTTCTCCCTCTCCCTCTGACTGCTGCTCCCCCTGCTTGTGCTCTCTCTCTCTCTGTGTCAAATAAATAAATAAATCTTAAAAAAAAAAAAAAGAAATTCATGCGAGTAACTCCTTATACAAGGGTAGATTATATGGACCCACTCTGGCAAGTCTGGATTTGGATCTGTTTGGGACTTTAAATGTGAGGGTTTGTGTTAGTTCCAGTGGGTTCCTGTCCTTACTGATATGTGAGCAGGGATTATTCATGGAAACCTGGGGAGGAGATCTGCATGCTTGGAGCTGGGGTAGCTAGCATCGTCTTTTCCTTTGCAGACCAAGACCAGGGCACCTGAGGAAAGATTTAATCCTAATTCTCACTGTCCACTCACTACCTCCCTGCTCCCCATCTAACCTATGGCTTCAGCGGCTCTATGCAAAAAGCAGAATTTGTGGGCAAAGATCTATGTTCACATGTCCTCATGTGCATGCAGAAGAGTTTGGGGTAGATGCCTTTGTTTTAGGGCCCAGGCTGATCCATAAATGGGAAGAACCTTCCAGGCAGCCCTTTGATATAAGAGAAGGATAAACCCTCAATGCCTTAGAATTGATAGCCTGCTCCATAAGCCTCTCCCATAATCTCTTCACCCAGGGCAGATCCGCAATATGCTGGGTCATAGAAGAAAATGCAGAAGCAAAAAATAGGACAAACATTGGTTTTTCTAACTTTCTTCTATAACTATTTTCTTCGATTATTAGGGGAACAAAAAATCTGATAAACAGGACTATTCTCCTTCTGGGCTGCTGTTGGAAGTCAGTGTTTACAAGGTTCTGGGTGATGAGTGATTTGAGGGTAGGACTTTGTCTTAAGCTTCTTTTTTTTTTTTTTTTAAGATTTTATTTATTTATTTATTTGACAGAGAGAGAGAGAGAGAGAGAGAGCACAAGTAGACAGAGAGGCAGGCAGAGAGAGGGGGAAGCAGGCTCACTGCCGAGCAGAGAACCCGATCCGGGGCTCGATCCCAGGACCCTGAGATCATGACCTGAGCCGAAGGCAGAGGCTTAACCCACTGAGCCACCCAGGTGCCCCTGTCTTAAGCTTCTTAAAGTTGCAATGTTGACCCCTTCCCTGCCTGCCAGATCTCCTGGCTTGCTCTACTATATTTTAAGGTCAGAACATAGAACAAGCTCCTGAAGCCATTGGGTTCCAAACATGCTCCTCAATACTAGCCATCAAAGACATGGCTTAAAAACTTGAAACATGCGGGGTGCCTGGGTGGCTCAGTGGATTAAAGCCTCTGCCTTTAGCTCTGGTCATGATCCCAGGGCTCTGGGATGGAACCCCACATCGGGCTCTCTGCTCAGCAGGGAGCCTGTTTCCCCCACTCCCCCACCTGCTTCTCTGCCTATTTGTGATCTCTGTCTGTCAAATAAATAAATAAAATCTTAAAAAAAAAAAAACTTGAAACATGCACTCACAGAAGACTTAGAATAGCTGGAGGCAAGCCTTTGTTCATTTTCTAGTGTTATTTCTCATTGCCCTTGAAGAATTAGACACAGAACAGAAGGGACTGGCTATTTGGGGGTGTTTGGTGAAAGCATTGCCAGTTATATTCTGTTCAACCAAAAAAACAGGATTAAACTAAGTTTCAGACAAGCTTGTCAGAGCACATTAGACATTGCTGGGTTGGCAGGATTCTTTTGAAGTTTTTGACTCATATAAGTTATAATTTTATTTTTACATGTTGTATACTTTCTTATATAGACCTCATCTTATTTAAGTTTCACAATTATACTATGCTTTGGAAAATGAAATTATGAATATCACAATTATATAGGTGAGGAAACAGACGTAGAGATTAAATGACTTGCCCAATTTTATCTAGGTCTGTTACCAGAATCAGAACTATAATACCAATTTCCTAACTTCCTGTTCAGTGCCTTTTCCATTCTGCTTTAAGAGCAAATATCCTCCAAAAAGGTGCACTAAGACAGGAGTATTTGGCAGTCATTGGACTCCTTCCCTGGTTCCCATTATAATTGTGGGGTCTTTTTTTTTTTTCAAGGAAGAGTTCTCTTTTGCCATAATGTGCTCCCCCAGGTTCATATGCTGTTCATGTGCATGGAACCCCACCATCAGGTTACAAACCATTATCTCAATTCATTCCCCAGTATCTCCACTGGGGATAATATTTACCCACATTACTGATAAAGAAGCTGAAGCTCAGAGAAAGCAGATAAATTAGCTTAATATCCCAAGGCTTGTAAGTGGCAGAGCTGAAACCAGGGTCTTCTAATATTTTAGTCCTCTTTCTGCTATACCCTACAAACATTAGCCATGACTGGCATCAAACAGAGATCTTCTCCTCAAGACATAAATATATTTGTGGCCTTTACCCACATGTGTCATATTCTAGGGCTGGGACACCACACAATATAATACAGATCCTCCAGTTTCTCCAGAAGGGCAAATAGTTCTCCCATTGGGTATTCACACATAAATATGTGAGCATGCTTGCATGGCCATGCTGCCCCACCTCCCCCTGCCAGGGATTTGGTCACAGCTACAGCATCTTGACAACCTATTTAAACCAACCTATAGTAACTGGCAGCACAGAATCATTCCCTGGCAGGCTGAGTCATTGAGCCTCTGCAGACTTTGGAAGAGAGAATCATTAGCAGAAACATCCAAGGGGCAGGGGGGGCGCAGGGCAGAAATGTATGTAATAAATTCCATCCAGATGTTGGGATTGGGTTTTTTCTTTTTCTTTCTTCCCACCCCCCCTCCAATTGCACTGAAAGAGTGAACAAGTTGTTTTCACCTTATCAACCAAGGTGGGAAGAACACCGTTTCCTTTATTCATGGGTGGGTCTGCACCAAAGGATTAAGAGGGCTAACAGAATGTAGGTAGTTCAGAGTGGCATCTGAATTATCAGCACTTTGTACACATGAAGGAATTAAACAGATAGGTAAATAATATTGCAAATACTTCAGCAAAATCCAATTAGCAGTGTCCAAGTCCATTCCAATTTATAGCTTCCACACCATTTACCTATAGGGTAGACAGCCTCTTTTGAAATCCTTCTAAGAGATACGGTTGTGCAAATTGGTCCAACAAATAGCTGAACATGCACATTGCTCTGTTAGAGAGGGAAAGGCAGACCTAGCCATAAATACTAAATTTTATCTCATGGCCTGGTAGCTTTGTCATGCTTTATGGCTAATAACTGAGTCAGCAGGTAACTCAAAAAGTCCTCTCCAGCAGTTCAGGCTCTACTGGGGTTAACTTCTGCTGTGGAGCAGATCTTCCCAAGCTACAGCCTCAGCTGACATCCCTTTTACCCCACACCTGAGCTCCTGCTCCCTGAAAGGGAAACCTGAGTAAAGACAGCTGTGAAAGAAGCAGAAAAGGGTTCTTTCTGGCAGTGGCTGCTTCCGACTTCAGGGAAGTGGGCATTGAACTAAAAAGCATTGCTTGGAGAGGACCAGGAAGTAAATGACACTGGAAAATGAAAAAGGACCTGACTTTCCTCCCCTCAAAGGTGTGCTTTGCAAGGTTTTTTTCATCTGGACTGGTGAGTCTTAAGATATATAGTCCTCAGACTACTTATTTGAGCAGGACAAAAGAGTTTTACCTGTTTAGTAGATTAAATAAGCCAGCAAACAAAAGAAAACATTTTTGAGATGTTTTTGCCAAATTCCTGTCAATTATTTGTAGCTCCCTTTAGACATGCTTGTTTGGGTGCTTTTAAGTTTTGATTGAAATCCTCAGTGGAAAATGTTTCAAAGGAAAACAAAACAAAACAAAAAAACCATCCCACACACTTCTACGCCTTGCGTTTTGACCCAGCCCACAAAACAATTGTAAGAATCTTTGCAGACCCACCAGAGATCCCTGGATTCACTTGGAGAATCATTGATCTAAAAACATCTTGATTTCAGAACGCTTTTTTTGACCTGGAATTATCTGTTATTGACCACAGAGAGTTGCTACTGACGACTCCTGGGACAGGGCCATGTATAGTGAGAGGTGAGCCCCAGTGTGGGAAGAAGAAATTTCTTTCTCTTTCTCAGCGGGTGTTTTGATATAGTACACTATCTATGCTTAGGATATCTGTAGACTCAATTTCTTCTCCTCCTCCTCCTTCCTCCTTCTCTTTCCTTCCTTTTCATCTTCTTCTATTTTTTGTTTGTTTGTTTCTTCTATAGTAAAAATTTTCCCAAGCCCTTGGTGCCTAGATGAATTTTGCCTGGCACATTTCACTAATTGGAGTTTCGGAATCACAGTTTCTTACTTGTGTGCAGAATTTTTCTAAATAGCTAAGCACCTAATTATTGTAAAAGCAACTGGCCACCATCACACCCTGTAGACAGGTAGGTGAGATTGCATCAGAGAAGAGAAGGCTTCAGGTCTCTACCCTTCACTGTGTCAGAACTGGGAGCTCTGTTGAGATAGATATAGGAAAGAAGAACCTTCATGGAGGGAGCAGCCATGTTGCAATGAGTGGAAATCACAGATAATATGAAGAGCAAGTCCAGGGAGTAATGGAACCAGACCCTGGAAGCATGAAGTTAAAAATCTCCCAACCAAGCTGAACCCAGAGAATGAGATAGTTCCTTTGGCCAGACTGCTCTGAAAATAAGGGAAAATTGATTCACACTGATTCACACTGAAGGTAAGAAGCGTATCTGCGTCTCTTCTGCTTAAGCCACAGGGATCTCATTAAGGATCGAGACACTAACACTGATTGATGGCTTCACTCTGGGCACAATCCTCAGCAGGAAGGTCCCATGCAAAGGTAACTACCGGGAATAGTTGGGGGTGGGGGGACACTATAGCCTTTTGATTTGATCACTCAAACATCCTGTCAGGCAGATGTAGAAAGGAGATCAACCCTTACCTTAAAAGAAGTAAATTGTTGGTTGAAGTATTTGGTTTCAGTATCTGTCAGGTTAGGCTTTGAAAGGCAGATCTGTGGTCTAGGAAACCACATCCAGGATTCTGTTGCTTTGGAGCTCTGAAAATGCAACAATATAAAGAAATGTATAACTCAGATTGAGACAATTACTTTTAATTGGGTGTTTTACTATTGAGTGCATAACCCCCATTTTGTGGAAGTGGCCCTGGGTTAGAATGTAATCTTTCTGGAAAAGGATTGTTTCTGGTTCTTCAAGACCAACTGGAGGAATCTCAAAAGTTAAAATAACATAAAACTTGCCATCTCTTAGTTTTACCATGAATGTTTCTTTATTCCAATAAGTAAGTATGAGTAAGCATTCTAACAAGGTGTTGTTACAGCCCGGCACCAGGAAGCAAAGAAGTCAAGTGTTCAGAGTTGGGCAAAAGAAGTAAAGATCCAGAACCATGCTGCTGGTCCAAAAGAGAGAAGAGTTCTTATAAAAGAAAAATACAAAATAAGAACCAAAAAGATCAGATAGGGGTTGAGTGGAAGTGCCCAGGGTATCATCTTTGATTGAAATAAAAAAAAAATACAATTCAGAGAGGAAAATACACACAAAGAAATAGATTATGATTTGAGACAAAACTGACTTCAGTTGTGTAGGGAAGATTTATTCCGATTTGGGGGAGGACACTGGAAAGAACCGTAAAGTTAGAGGCATCCAACTGAAATACCTGTGTAGCTGAGTTTGGGGGCCAAAGTAGTTGCTCCATCCCTTAAAGATCTGTGTGTTGTTCATAAAGCAGCTATCTTGAGGAAAAAGAAGAAAAATGGGGGCATGGCAGAGGGCAGAGAGTTCCATAAGCCCCGCTAATGGTCCCACAAGGCAGGATTCAGCCATAAATTGCCTCCTAGTTAGCCAACAGTTCTGTCTCCATCTGTTCCCCAAACCCTTGCTTACAGATTCTTTTTTTTTTTATATTCAAGTCTCTTTGAATCAGCTTGAAGTAAAAGTACTAAATTCAAAACATTCTATATCCTTTCATCTGTTGAGCGAAATAAGTCAATCAGAGAAAGACAATTATCATATGATCTCCCTGATATGAAGAATTTGAGAGGCAACATGGCAGACTTGGGGGGTAGGGAAGGAAAAAAATGAAACAAGATGGGATTAGGAAGGAGAAAAACCATGAGAGACTCTTAATCTCACAAAACAGAGGGTTGCTGGGGGTGGGGGGGTGGGTAGGGAGAGGGTGGTTGGGTTATGGACACTGGGGAGGGTATATGCTATGGTGAGTGCTGTGAAGTGTGTAAACCTGGCGATTCACAGACCTGTACCCCTGGGGCTAATAATACATTATATGTTAATAAAAAATAAAAAATTTAAAAAAACAAAAATTCATTCTGAATCACAATTTGAATCTTGTTTAAAGATGAAAGGATGAAAAGTAGGACTCGGTTTAGAAATAGTCCTTGTAGATGGGATCCCACGTGTTATGTGTTTTACTCTTCCTTTGATTTATTCTGCTTTTAAGTGCCACCAGGCCTCTCATTCCATAGTCAGTAATTGGGCTTTTAGAAGGGAGAAAAGTGGTTATTTAAAATTGTCTCCTTATGTTCTGTAGCCGCACCACCTGACATTTGCTTCCAGGGAAGTGTACACAGCAATAACTGACTGGATATCTGCTTTAGGTCTGTTCAACTGAAATAAATTAGGAAGCCATCCCCATCTTTGCCATCACTATAAATTAAGGACACAGAGAAAAACTCACTGAACCCTAATGAAGGCTTTCATAACTTAGAGCCTAGCCTCAGAGTGGTCGGGTGACCTGGCTCACAGGAGTAGCAGCTCACAAAGCCCAGGAGCTGAAATTAGGGGGCCAGTTGTTGGTACTGCATCTGCGCCTATCTGACTGGGAGGCTTTAATCTAGTCATTGACTTGCTTAGGGCTACCATCCTGTGCATCCAATGGGAAAATGAAGACTAGCTTCCCCTACTTACAAGGATGCTTGTGGGTAAGATGACAACCAAAAGTAACTGCCTTCGCTGGGGTAGAGAGAGCTGGGTTAGACGGAGAAAGTACATTGTGGTAGCTAATTGCTACCACATGTCATTGCTTAATTTTTAAAATCCTCATCTTCCTCTTCCCTGGGCTCCTGAATGGTCCGGAAATACTTTTCTTTTAAGTAAAGCTTTCATTGAAGATTTTTGTGTTTTTATTGAACAAAAAAGTCTCTACCATGTGAACATACCCAGGAAAGCAGAACCTAGATATAGAAATAGGACAAGGGGCACCTGGGTATCTCCATTGGTTGGGCATCTGACTCTTGCTTTTGCTCAGGTTGTGATCTCAGGGTCGTGAGACTGAGCTCCCATGTTTGGCTTGGTGCCCCTTGCTCAGCAGGGAGTTTGCTTCTCTCCTTCTGCCCTTCCCCCAACACACATGCATGTGCACACTCCCTCTCTCTCTTTCTCTAAGATAGATGGATGAATCTTAAAACAAACAAACAAACAAACAAACAGAAATAGGACATTATCAGCACCCAAAGCCCCCTTAAGTCCTTTAAGTACTTTTCTCTCCAAGGGTAACCACTGACTGACTTCTAACACCATATTTAAGTTTTGCTTGTTTGAGGGGCCTTATATATATATGTGTATGTACTTTTTTAATGTTATGACTTCTATTGTTTAATATTGGTTTGTAAAATTTGTTACTTTACATAGTCATATTTTGTTTATTCTCAATGTTGTATAGTATTTCATGAATTAATATGCCGTAGTGTGTTTATTCATTCCTTATTGGTGGATGGTTAGATTTCCAGTTGAAATCTGTTATGAACAGTGCTACTAGGAACATTCTTTTTTTTTTTAAGATTTTATTTATTTATTTGACAGACAGAGATCACAAGTAGGCAGAGAGGCAGGCAGAGAGAGGAAAGCGGGCTCCAGAGAGCCCAATGCGGGGCCGATCCCAGGACCCTGGGATCATGATCTGAGCTGAAGGCAGAGGCTTTAACCCACTGAGCCACCTAGGCGCTCTGCTACTAGGAACATTCTTGAGCAATTTTTTGATGAATGTATGAGTACATTTCTATTGAGTTATCTAGAAGTAAAATTGCTGAGTCACAGAACATATGTAAGTTCTGCCTTAATAGCCCCTGCTAGTCTTCCAAAGTCATTTTCAAAAGTCCAAAATCATTTTACACTCATACCCGTCATGTCTGAGACTTCTGTTTTATCTACATCCATATCAACATTTGGTATTGTCTGTCTTTTACATTTAGCCATTTTGGTGGGTATATTGTGGAATGTTTTTGTTATTAATTTTAATTTTCTTTATTTCTTTTAATTTTATTTTTTATAAACATATAATATATTTTTATCCCCAGGGGTACAGGTCTGTGAAACGCCAGGTTTACACACTTCACAGCACTCACCATAGCACATACCCTCCCCAATGTCCATAACCCCACCACCCCCAACCCCCCTCCCCCCGTCAACCCTCTTAATTTTAATTTTCTTGATGACTAACAAAGTTGAACATCTTTTATTTTTTATTTATTTATTTATTTATTTATTTATTTATTTTTTAAAGATTTTATTTATTCATTTGACAGACAGAGATCACAAGTAGGCAGAGAGAGAGAGGAGGAAACAGGCTTCCCGCGGAGCAGAGAGCCCGATGTGGGGCTCGATCCCAGGACACTGGGATCATGACCTGAGCCGAAGGCAGAGGCTTTAACCCACTGAGCCACCCAGGTGCCCCAGTTGAACATCTTTTAATACATTTATATTGGCCATTTGGATATCTTGTTTCATGAAATATCATTAATTCTTGAGCCTGTTTCTTCTGTTGGATTATCTGACATTTTTATTGATCTATAAGAGTTCTTTATTATAGATACTTCTTGTGTACATGTTGCAAATATCATTTCCCATAATGCCATCAAGTCATACTGGAGCTTGAGGCAAAAGGAAACATCAGAAATACTGATACTTATCTTTATTTAAAATTTTGATATTTTGCTCATCATGGGAATTTTTTACATTAATTACGATTTTTTAAAATATTGCATTAATATCTCACTTGTCTTGATTACTGAGTTTTGGGCACTGCCTTAAAAACTT